TCTTGGTGGTCAGCCCACTTACAGCCCTCCATCCTTCCTTCTCTCTCAGCCCTGGTGAATTCCATTGGTGGCGGTGGGGGGCTGACCTTTGGGGGAACCATGGGCAGCAATGCCCTGAGATTCTCTAGCAGTGGGAGGCCGACATCCCTGAAGACACTTTCCTTCAAGACCACCCACAGGAGTGCTCTCAACTAAGAATGACGTGCTGAGACCTCTGTTCTCCCCCTCTCTCTGGTCCCAACAAGACTCCCATCCCTGTTCCAAGACTGGGAGACCACCTGCATAAAGGATGTCGGAGTCTCTTCCAATAAAGCAGCCTGTGTTGGGGAGTCGTTGCCTGTGTCCTGGTTTCTGGGGAGGTGGGGAAGTAGAAGGGCAGCCTTTGCCCCGATGACCAGGGAGTCTCTTGTGCAGGAGGTCTGATGGTCTGAGGGGAAACACCTGTCCTGTTAGTGCAGCACACTAATGGACTTATGCAGTGTGATCCCTGGGCCCCCGCCCAAGACTGGGACCAATTCCAGCTCCTCTGTGGAGAAGTCCAGAAATGCCCCAGGGAAGTTTTGTCTCAGGCAGGAAGTGACCGCTGAGTCCTCTCCACTCAGGGGGTGGCACGCTGTGTGGACACCAGCCCCTCCCTGCCCTGTGCTGGGTGAGTGCATCCCTCAGGTGCTGAGAAGACCACCAACATTCAGCTGCCCCAGGCTGAGTTTCAGGTGCACAAGCCAACTCTCAGGCCAGCCTTCCACTGCCCTTGCTGGTGCTGGTGGTCCTGAGCTCCGGGCAGCCTGGCTCAGGCCCCTGGGCCTTGTGAGGGTCGAGGAGCCTCTGGACTTGCACTGTGTGGGCATGGCATCAGAGCAGATGGTCTGGGTGTAGGGAAGGCTGAGGGAGGGGAAACTGAGTGAGCGGTCCCAGAGTCTAGAGCCCTGGCAGGGGCCATATCTCTGGATTCCTGGGCAGAGGGATGGGCTGTGTATGTGGTTTCTGGGAGGGTGGCCCCTGGGGGTTAAGTCAGTGTGGATGGGGTCCAATAGGATGCTGTGGGGGAGTGTATGGAGTGTTTCTGGGTTGGGGGTCTGTGTTTGGGGATCTCCATCCTGGATGGGAAGGAGGATGTATGGGGGGGACCAAGGGAGCAGGGAGAGGGTGTCTGAGTCTGGGACCCCAGGAGGGAGGTGGTGTTGGCTTGTCCGGGTGAGTTGGTTTGGCGGGGCTGAGACTCCAGTAGGGAGGTTTCCTGTGCTGAGGTTGGAGTGACCAGTGGCCCTCCAGCAGGAGCTAGCGGCAGTTGCTCTTCTCAGTTGCCTCCCAGCTTGCTTTCCTGAAATGGTCTGGATTTGGGAGTTTTGCTCCG